ATCAATACTAATTTATTGAAAAGAAATGCTACCTGACAAAGTCTAAGAAGAAAATAATGCATTTACATGCTAGTTTTCATCATAATATATAAACTTCCAAATCCTTACAACAAAATGTATTGAACATATTGAAACTGAAGTTCCAAGGCATTAAAAGAGAGATGAAACACTTCCAAATCCTCACCCGTTGTCCAAACATAATTGTGCTAGTGGTCTCTGCATAGTGCCTTGCTGATGGCCCAATCGTTATTATAAGTGAAGTCCTCGCAGAGCCTATTTAGTGGAAAGAATAATGCATTTCATTAAAGGAAAATCATAAAAAATAAAAATAAAAAGTGCAATTATAAACATACTATCAAATTTGAAGAATAACATATATAAACATACTATCAAATTACTGTTTGTCTCGCTGGTCTCACCAAATGACCAAATGATATTCTCAAGCAATTAATTAAGCCCAAATACATAGCAAAGAACATTATCGATGAAATAAAAATGATACAAAATAAAAATTATATACATATAAAAGATATAGAGCAGAATGTTAGATATATGGGACAACCTCCAAATGAATCACGAAGCAACCTCGTAAGCTTAGAATCTCTTGTAGGGATATGTGGACTGTTTTCCGCCAATGCATTTATACATTTTCCAAGGGAACTGAGTGAAAGATTTATAAATTTAGCCTCCTCGAGCAAGTGGCCCTCACTGCCTGCAACATGAGAAAAATAATGTCAGGAATAACAATGCCATCAAACCAAGATGCCACCCCAGAATTTTACAACTGAAAACTGCAGATTATTTCAAGGAAGAATACATGCTATCTGGCTTAAATTAACATAAGATCATGCTTCCAATACAAGATATGTAGAACCCAAATCTGCAACACTTACGGAAAGACCTCAAGTGAAATTAATAATGCTTAGTGTTGAGTCCTAAAAGTGATTGTCATAAATAATTTAAAAAATGCCAATAATCTTTAATAAAGGAAAAACAAGTGGGCGGAAATGAGAGCTTAAAGTACTACTTCAGGTGTACTGTATCGACGACAAACCAGATTTATCTATTCTTTCAGATCCTGCAAGATCGACAATCAGCAACTTGCTTCTTCGAACTATAGGTACACTATTTCTACCAGATAAATCAGCCCAAGAGGCTTTTTCTTGAGAAATCATCTCATCTACAGCATTCTCTTGCACAGCTCTGCGAAGAAAAACCTGTAAACATAAAAGATTCAAATAATGAATAAGTCCAGATCACTGCTATTCAAAGAAACAATGTCTAGCAAGCATTAATCAATAAACCCAAAATTATACAACAGACCCACCATGAGAATCGCATGGCTACGTGAAGATTCCGTATTCAGCTTCGTGTTAGCTGCATGACGGTTTGCCTCACCAATTTGCAGAAGTTGTAAAAAGTGATCAAGATCTTTAACTCTTACTACTGAAGCACCAGGAAGTGACACTTCACCAGTCTTGGGGTCCTCACTAATAGGAATATTAGTCTTTTCTGGTGCAAGCAAATCTTGAATAGATTCCATGTACAACTGGAGCAACAAACACAGTTCTTCATACATGAGCAATCACCCAACATGTGGTAGTAACATGACTATCTACTTCAACATATAAGGGATCATATGACAAGTAATCTTTAGAATTTTGGAACAAGTACCAACTGAGAAAATATAAGTTTATGTTCATAATAGTTATTGAAAGATATGGCAGGCACCTAAACTGAAAACAACATATAAAGACAAGGGTTTGACTGAAAACAACTATATTTTCAGCCATTCTTCTTCTACTGGATAAGGACAGAGTTCTACTAGAGATGGTGGAAGTTCACACCTTCCTGGTAGTAATACCTCATCGTAGTCTCATACAACAAGTTGACAAGTTGATATGATGAACCTTAAACTGCACTCATTGTTTACTGGACCCGTGTTCAAATCCATGAAATTATAGCTTACACCTCCAGGTTCACCAGTACTTTCCTAAGTTGTTATTAAGACTTGCAAAGTTCTACTGAATTATTAAAACTTTTTTGGCTTTTAGCAGTGTAGCGTTCAACTCAAGAAATGAAAAGTTTCAATTAAGATTTTACATGGAGCAGTGAACAAAACCATCCTAATGGTGGAAATCTAGCACTTCAACAATAACGTTAGCCCTGAACTTTGACACAAAACCCTGACCATAGAGGATTATCAAACTCTCTAAGAAGTTCATATGAAAGAACAACAAACACAAAACGCATAAGGAAATGTTGATGTAACATAGATTGCTACCTGCAAGTAGGAAACTTCCACGCTATCATTAGCTGGAGTTGTATTCGAAATTATGTCCTCCAAAGCTCTAACCATAATACCACGCTCAGATGGGTCATCTTTACCCAGACTGCCAACTGTGTAAGTTTTCCCGGTACCGGTTTGGCCATAGGCCATAACTGTCCCATTATATCCATTCAATACACTCTGCAAAAGAATATCAAAATTGAATGTACATAATTAACATGGCATCCAAAAATTTTAAAGATAAATTTCTTCTGCGATAATGACAGAAGTAAACATTGGCTTGAAATTAACCAATCAAATAAAGATATCCAGACAGGTGCAATAGAACGACACATTGAGCATTTCAACACCTGACATGAATATATATACTGGGCCACTCACCTCAACTACAGGTTTTGCCACTACTTGATAAACACGATTTTGGGAGGCAGTTTCAGTAAAAACTTCATCAAATCTATAAGACTCAGAACTCCAATTGTTCTTTCTCAACTTTAGCCGCTTCAGCTACATTATACATAGAGAGAAAATCGATACTTTTAATTTATTAGATTATTAAATAAATATGCTTTAAGAATCAATCATCATAATTCTGGGAAAATGACAAACTTCATATCACCTCTGGCTGCAACTCAACACTGTCTGCGTAATCAGAATCCGAACTCCGGTCCTCAAGATTTCTCGGTCGAAGCCTAACAGCAACCCTCACTCTTCCAGGCTCTGTTGGAAATTATAAGCCAAAGTCCCAAAACAAAGACAAACAAAATACTTTTTTAAAAAATTTAAATTTTGTTCATTGCTCTAAGACTCTAAGACTCACATCAGCAAAATCAAAGTTGAAATGTGCTTGATATTAATTTCGATTAACAAGAACATAAATTCCAAAATTCAAAACTAAATGAGAGAGAGAGAGAGAGAGAGAGAGAGAGAGAGGGGGAGACCTTGCTGATAGTCGGGGTTAGAGTGAGGAGTTCGAGAGCTGGGAGTAACGGAGCGCCGTGAGCTTGAAGACGGCTTAGAGCGATGGCTATGGGCTTGTGACGACGTCGTTTGTCGACTAGAGTGAGTAGGAGGGACTTGCTGTCTCTCAGACCTCCCACTAACACCGTTACTGCCATTATTATGCACCGCTGCCACTGCTGTTGCCGACGACGATGATCGTACAGAAGACGAAGACGAAGACGAAGAAGAAGAAGAAAAGGAAGCAGCCATTGATTTTGAAATCAATTCTGAGTCAGTAAATCCAGATGCAGAGAATTGCAGAGCAAGAAGATTCTCGAGCTTTATTATGATTCATGAGAGAGAGAGTGTGTGTACAGGCCGGCACGACGGAAGAGAGAGAAAGAAAGAAAGAATAACAAGTGAATGAGAGAGAGGGATTGCGATTTGCGAAGCGCAAATTAGATATGAAAGAAACTGGTTCCCGCGTTGTGGGTTACGTTTGAGGAGACAAGAGACGGCCGTTATATATTTATTTGGTGTTTTTTTTGCTGTTCTTTTTCCTTGAATGCCGTAAAGTAATAAAGTTGTGCATCTCTTTTTCGAATTTCAGAGACCCACTTTTTCACCTTCCATTTTATCCGCACGTGTCCCATGTCTATTATTACATCCTTTTTCCATGACATTCTGTTTTCTTTTTCTCATTGGCTTGTCTTGTCAATGTTGTCATTATATGAAAATATTTGTGGACCCAGTAAAGTTCTACAAGTGCTGGGCCCAGCTTAGGAATCCCCATGGCTTATCCCTCATCGATTCATAAATTAATCTAATTTAGAGCAATTAAGATTCGAATTTAAGTACAATTGACTTGATTTACGTCTGCGAAATAAACACGAACAATTCCGTCATGTGTCAATGAGTGCAAATGGATGGTGGGTGAATCTATGTCTGCTTGAAGGTCCCTCTCATATATAGAACACCCTTCTTTGCAAGCAATTGCAAAAAAATCACCCATTTATAAAAGCGATGGTGCACATGTAGTGTTAGGACATTGTAATCAGAGAGACAATGATATTAACTGGTGATGGTTAATTCATTCACACCGAAAAGTAAAAACACGATCGTTTGTTATGGATGGTTCAACTGTTTTTTTTATTTTTTATTTTATATAAGAAAGTATTGTGTTTCTAGCTCTCTGTCTGTCATTTTGTATGTAGAAAGACACAACGTGAATGAACTTTGCCGTCCCAAACAGAAGATTTGGTGTGAAACTTTCTTGTTCTAGTCAAAAGCTGACCACTTCAATCATCCATTCCAACACAACTTTATAAAAAAGATCTTATATTACATATATTAATTAAACCCAGTTATCCAATAGTAAAAAGATTAGAAAAGATTAATGCACATCTCCCAGATGGCAGATGGCTGAGTAACTTGGGTTGTTTTGAAGTGAAATGAGTTGGACGTGTCAGAGTGAGGAAGATGAAGAAATGTTGGCATTTCATGTCATTTCATGTGAGCTATTTGTTTGGTTGTGTTGATTTGGCCGGCAACGTACCACAAATCCCAGCTGGAATGAGACAATGATAGCATGTAGTATTTTTTTTAATAAAGATTTTTAGCCTCTTATGGCTTGGACAGAATGGAAATAGATTAGAGAGAGATACTTTGACTGTTTCACAAATTTTCATTTATTGATTTGAAAACTAGAAATGGCTAAAACTGCAGCAGCTTGGTTTCATGTTAAAGGTAAAGCACCTGTCAAGACCAAATCTATGTTTGGTGATTTTTTTTTTTTTTAAAAAAGAGAAGAATCACAGGAATTGATTTGAATTTCATCAATGGTTCAGATGAAAAATCCAATCTATCAATAGCAACAACCAGAGACTACAAAAATCTAGAAGAGGTGACATTTTCTTTGATGTACAATTAATCTAAGTGAAGTCCATCGCAATTTCTGATTTTGTGGCAAACAGCATATGATTATGAACAGAAAAACAACCATTTTGGTTAGAGGTACTGGTTAATCAGGTGTGGCACCCCGGATTATGACTACGCTGCCCAGCAATTCGTACACTTCTGGGGTTTATACATAGCTCTAACACCTGCAATGAGCATGGCTTGTATCCTGTTATCGGCTGAGACATAAACTTCAACCAATCAACAAGATGATTCCTTCCAAGCATATCCAAATACTGCCTGAAAAAGGGGTCGGGGCAATTCAATAGCTCCGGCTTGATACATTGGTGAAGTCCCTGACAGCGACTTGAAGATGCACTAACTTACAGGAAAACCAGCCAATGAACCTTCCTAACTCTTCCAACCCAAGGCAGAAAGATCGCCTTGTTTTAAAGCCATGTGTTTTCCAAGCCTGAAAATTTGAAGTCAATTAGCAAGCAAGTCAAAGGGTCTAGGAGTAAATTATGATGGATGGTGGCTATTGCATATGCATGTTCCTTGTACAAGTTAAACAGAGCATCAGATAACTTTTAGTTATGATACCAACTACAAGAAAGAAATAAATGCTAAATACTTTTGACATGCACAACTGCCAATACATAACAGGGTGATCTCATGAACAATTACCCAAGATCTGATGGAAGCCTGAAACCACCTATGCGTACGCGCTTTAATGAATGTATCTGGAACAACAATCAGCATAAGCAGAACATAAATTTCAAAAACAAGAAACAATACAGGTAAGAATTAGCGGGGAATTTAAGATTGGTAAGTCCATGTCATCAAAGGTCAAATTTATCACCATATTTTCAGTTTCTAGGGAAATGACCACACAGATCTTTAAAATCATACCTCAAGTTCACAACACGTATGTGGAACATAGAAACAACTGTAACTCTCTAACAACTTCAAAAACAGCATAATGACGAATCAAAACATTTAAAAAGAAAACAAAATTAGGAATATTTTTAATGAGAGTAAAGTATTTACTGTCTTAAAGCAGCATCAAGAAAATTTTTATTCAATATAGTCACAAATTCATATTACAAATCCAATTTAGAGGATCACTAAGTCCACCTCATATTTCTTCATATATGTGATCGATTGAGGACAAAAAGACAAACAAAATCAGAATTATTTATGGAATGAGGAAAATGCTCCGCCCAATAAACAAATCTAACCTCAAGTCCAGCATTTTTCACTAGTTCTCGTACTTCGTGGTTCCTCCCTTCATGAACCTACATGAATCCAGGTGGATAAAATGAAATCCATGTGATTGGTATTGCAAAAGTTGAAATTGCATGCTTTAGCCACAACTTTATAGTTGTTCAGGTTAACATTCTGTGTGCATCTCCTTAGTCAGAAGGCAATGTAGCTTCCCCAAAACATGATAACATGAAACAGCATATCATTCTGGAGATCTTCCAAAGTTAAATACCTAGTGTTATCTTATCAACCCGAAGAATGATAATGTTCATATCCAAATACAGTTTCCACTCATGCCAGTAAAATTATAAGATTATCAAATCTTGAAACATTGATTGTGCATGAGAAGATACAGTCCATGACCAAAAGAAATGAAAAACAAAGGGATAAAATAAATAAAAGTATCTTATACTAGCATTTTTGGGCTAACAAAACAATGATATGTCAACATATAATCTGTCACTTTTTTCATATTTAAAAAAGAAAAGAAAGCAAAAGAGAGGCATGAACAGATAATTAGTACCACAATACGCAAACGGGGTCTTGACATATCTGGCTGTTGTGGTAGCAACTCCACAGAATCTGGGGTGCAATGGACGCCTTCAATGACTGTTCCCTCACTGATGGCTAACAGGTGCCGCTTACTGACTACACCTTCTATTGCTGCAATGTATCTACAATTACAATGTAAAGGTGTAGGTCATCAGCATTCATATTCCAATGGAAATTACTTGTAAATATCAACTAATGGAGAACAATGACCAGATGATGACATTATGAACTTGCAAATACATATGCCCAAATTTGTTTTTTGAACCAACTTTTTTTTTTTAGAAGAAACGAAATTTATAAAGCAAAAGAACACGGAGGTGGATAAGACAACCACAACCGGAGAACAACACCAACACACAAAGAAACAAACAACACCAACCCC